AATTTTACCTTAAAATATCAAAAATTGTGTCAGTTATGATTTTTGGGGCAAATCAAGTAATTTTTCACGTTTTTTGGGCTTTCCAATTATTTTCTTCATTTAAAATCAAATTTCATCTAAAAAAATTATTCCGTCATATAATTATTCCGTTAGATGTTTGAAATATATCCTGGAATTTTTTTAAATAAAAAAAGCGAATAATTTTATTGCAGCAAACATTTTTGTAGCTGGGATCGCGGAAAACTCCAGTGTGCCCATTATGTGATTTTACTGAAATGTGCACAATAAGAGTTAATCTAGTTTTATAATATATATATATATATATATATATATATATATATATATATATTATAATAATATACTTATTGTAAATAAACTTGAAACATATTTACATATGTTATTGAAAAGGAGCTTGAAATTGCATGAATAACGAGTGAACTTAAATATAAAGCAAGGGAAAAGAAATTGGAGGAAATGAGGGATTTGACAATATTATACCCCGTGGCGGATATGACAGTCAAGATTAAAAGTAAAAATGAGAAAAAGATAAATGATGTTATATGTTAATAATATAGAATTTCATCGCGATGAGAACACATCGGACTATGCTAATGCACGGAAAAAAGATTTCAGTTCGTGAAACTGAATGGAGACCGGACGAAAAACTCGCTGACGAGAAATAATGTCTCTGTACTGTGACCGAAAAAATTCGTCTGAACATTCAGCTGCATTAAAACTCGTTTCAGGTAACTGAGAATAATTGGTTGAGTGGTAAGCTTTCTACAGGAATCTTTCTGTTCTCCCAACCGGGTCTTTCATCTCCTTCTCAGGTAACAGAAAATACGATTACATTAACGAAGTTATTTATTCACCGTGTGATAATGATACAAATGAAAGCTGTCACGATAGCTCAAATTTAGAACAGAATAGAACTGATGGAATAGCATAATTATAAGAAGAAATAAAAGGACATTTGATGGTAGTGAAAGGTGTCACGCAAAAGACAAAAGACACGTACACGGAAAAACAACTCCGTTAGTGTAACTTGAATTTTCTGTTACTTACAAGTAAACCTACCCAAAGGGTACACTCCGATTTCTTTCTAATTACACAAATATAATCTAATTGCACAAATATAGAAGTACAAAAAATATTTAGGTTATATTTTTTCATTTTGGCCCACTTTGAGTTTCACGGGCTGTTTATAGCTTTTTAATGTTCTCACTCCTATCATCAACAAGTGCAAGAAGAATGCATAAGAAATAAAACTGAATATAAAATATATAGTTATATATAGTTAAATAATTTTAATAAAATCGACGTAGCTGAGACACGAATTCTAAATTTCTTTAACTGAGATTTCAACCGAAATATTTCAAATCTGTGCTAAATTAGTCAAAAATGGTTCGAATCTCGGCCAAACCGAGAAATCCGGTAATTTTAATTAAAATTTTAACAGAATCGGTATAGCTGAGACATAAACCATTCTAAATTTCTTTAGCCAAGATTTCAACCGAAATATTTCAAATCTGTGCAAATGTGTAAAATTATTTGTATAAATAATAAAATATTGAAACAAAACATGTGAAAAGTTAAAAAAAATTATTTATACAAATAATTTTTCGGTTTGGTCGAGATTTGAACTATTTTTGACTAATTTAGCACAGATTTAAAATATTTCGGTTGAAATCTCGGCTAAAGAAATTTAGAATTTGTGCTAGATTTCTCAGTTATGCCGATTTTGTTAAAATTATTTAATTATATCTTGTATTCAATTTTATTATTTATGCATTTTTGTTGCACTTGTTGATGATAGGAGTGAGAATATTAAAGAACTATCCGTGAAACTCAAAGTGGGCTAAAATGAAAAAAATATGACCTAAATATTTTTTGTACTTCTACATTTGTATCAAAAATAAGAAGAAATCGGAGTGTAACTTTTGGGTAGGTTTATTTGTTAGCGACCAGATGAAAAATTTGATTGTAGGAATAGAAAGATTCCTGTAGGAGATTTCTACTTCAATCAATTTCTACTTCTAGTCAATTGCTTCTGTTTATCTCAACCGACCTTTAATGCAGCTGGATATTCAGACGAATGCTTTTGGTCACAGTAACAGAGATATTACTTCTTGTCAGCGAGTTTTCTGTCTAGTCCTCATTCAGTTATCCAAACTAAAATTTCTTTTTCGTGTATATTACACACCAAAAGTTTCCTGCGCTTCAGCTCTCATTAACGTTAAAATTTTAAGTTAAAAAATATGCAGAAAGAATCAGATATTACTAAAAAACCTGCCTATTTTATCAGCGCAGAATATTTGATTATCAATCAATTGTGTACGCGCGCAGAAAAAATCTTAGTTGATGCAACCAAATAGGAACTAACCGAAAATAGGTGATCAGAGACGATATCTCTGTTATGAAAACTAATATTTCTGTTGTCGCAACTGAAAATATTTGTGAACATTCAACGATATTAGAACTCGGTTGAGGCAACTGAGAACAATTGATTATACAGAAAGGAATTTTTCTGTTCCTACAGTCGAGTTTTCATTTGATCCCTGAGTAACCGAAAATTCAGTTACACCAACAGAATTGTTTTTTCCATGCGGTAAAAACAATTCCGTTAGTGTAACCGAATCTTTCGTTACCTGGTAAAAAAAATAGGCAACTAAATGAAAACTAGGTTATAGGAAGAGCAAGAATTCTGTAGGAGATTTTTACACTAAGAAAAAAGTATTCGAAAATATTTTGTGGGATATGAAGTTTATTGATTATTGATTATTATTGATAAAGCTTATTGATTTATGCGAAATAAAGTTAACTTCTGTAAAATAAAGTTTATTTTGCAGAAATAAACTTTTGTCCCACACACACACACGCACACACAAATAAATTTTCAAGTACTCTTTTCTCAGTGCAAAAAACTCGGCCAATTATTCTCAGTTATTGCAACCAAGTACAGTTGAACACGTTTGGACAAATGTATTTGCGCGGTAACAGTGATATTATTTTACTTTACCAATGTTAACGTAACAATTTTATGTTACCAATGTACGTTAAATTTTCATTTGCTGATTTTGCGTATCTTTCGTGCGCAGCAACTGTAGGAAAAGCGTTACATCTTGATTGGAATCCCAAGTAGTTTTAGACAAAAGTTAAGACATAACTATCTAGTGACTGGATGGAAAGAAATTTTCAGTTCGTGTAACTGGGTGGGAACCAGACGGAAAACTCGCTGGCGAGAAATAATATCTCTGTTATTGCGACCAAAAACGTTCGTCTGAACATATTCAGCTGAATAAAACTCGGCTGAGAGCAACTGAAGCAACTGGCAAAAACCTTCTGCAGGAATCTGTTTTTACAACCACCAAGTTTTTCATCTGGTTCTCAGATAACAGAAAATTCAGTTACACTAATGGTGTTGTTTTTCCTGTGTGCTCAGAATTACATTTAATTTCTACCACGGGATGCAACGTAGGAGAATCTCAAATCCTTTGCTTATTGTCAAAACCTGAAGTGATTTTCTCTTTATTTTGAAATTCCGTACTTCTGATTGTCTTGCGGCTAGTCAATGACAGGACAAATAATCTGTGATTTGGCTGTGCGAAAATAGAAGAGGAACGTAACAAATCTTTGTTATTGTTGTTTTACCCAGCTAGGCGTCTGTTAGTCGGTCACTATCGAGAGCTTAGTCTGCACGGCATTGTTTATCTCGATGTTTGACGGCTAACAGTCTGAGAGGGATATCCGGTCGTACGAGACGATAATTTTCGAGCTTTGTTCATTGTGTTTCTGCTTCTCCCTCTTATATTGGAAATACGCGTGATTAAAGTACAGTTTAATTCAGGCTGAATTCTAGATTATTTGGCGTTTAGATAATTAAACGATGCAAACGGTATAAGGATTATTATTAAGTTAGAATTACTATTATTATTGTGATGTAATAATAATAAAGGGTAAAGCACCCAATTATTAACACTCAATTATTGATCTTCTTTAAGCATTAACTTCTAGAAAAGTAGTTTTTTCTTTGCGTTTGTTCACAATTTTAATTGTGAAGTTCTCTTTTAGAATTATTGAGTTCAAGACAAGAAGCTCAATTACACTGAAAGAAAAAATCTAAGAAATAGTAAATATTTATTTGGTGGACATACACACACACTAACAACACATATTTACTCACATTAATATAAAATATCTTTCAAATAAAAAAATATACACATTTTCTTAAATCTTTAAAAAAATATTAATTTTTTATGAGAGCAATTATATATTCTATTTAAATAAAAGAATATAGATTTAAGCTGTTGAACATTAGTTAGTATTAGTATCCAGCAAATATATATTTGCTAATTTTTAAATATACGTAAAAAAGGTATGTACAACATAAATATAATTTACTGTGTTAGCTACTTTTTCTTTGCTGCAAGAACTAATTTTCTTGCTAAGATAAATCTGCTCCTGCAACAAAAAAAGTAGCTAAAGCAGTAAATTATGTTTGTTTTATGTAAATTATGTTGTCCATCTGTAGCAAATTTGTTGTACGAGCAAATTTTCTTATTATCATAGCAAGGTTCCTGCAGCAAAGAAAAAGCAGCGAATTATATTTAACTGTCCACATATTACAAATTAATTTGCTGCTACAGCAAATCCTTTTTTTCCGTGTACAATGCTGATTACATGAAAAACCCAGTAGTTCTCTAGAGAGTCAACTTGATTAGGGGATGTCAATAATTAGGTTGCTTTACTCTACTCGCAAACGAAACAAGGTGTGCTCGATCGAAGTACTGTGTAATTCTGAAATTGACGATGAATGAGTCTTATCGAGTGTTATTGAGGAACGGAGTGACGGGGAATTAGTTACAAGGGTTCGAATTAAAAATTAATTAAATATACTAATTAAACTGTCATTAGAGTAAAGATCCTTTTAATTAAATCCCGGGCTCGAATGGACTTTTGTCTGCTAACGTTCTCCCTCTCTCTCTTTGTCGCTGCTCCAGGATTCCACACCTATACGTTGAACGAAAGCATGCACACGGAAAGGGAGGAGGACGAAATCCTGACAGTGAAATACGAGGATGGCAGGTGGTCGAAACCGTATTACGACTGCGGGGGTGGCAATATCTGGATGCTGACCTACACGGTACCCTTCTTCGGATACGTCAACGACACCTACTTCTTCAAGTGAGTACGAACTTTCTCGTTATCGAGCGCGCAGCCCGCGCAAGTCCATTCGTTGATAATTCGAGGCTGATAACGTGCAAATGGCCTTTGCATCGTCCAGGCTGTGTATCGCGCGCTCGCGTTTCGTTGTTTATTCGATTATCGCGTGTCTCGTATTGTAACGCGATAAATAATTCCAAATTTTGTATCATCGCTCACACGTTATGCCATTATTATTGTCGTTTGCGCGCGGAAATAAACGTAATGAAAAATATCGACGATATTTAAGCTTGTCGCGCATATAAATATATAAATTCAACGGCATATGGATTTTGAGTCTGGCGGTAATATAATTACCACGCGCTGGATGTAACGCGGTATTGTCGAAATCTCCCGCGTTATGAAAATGCGTCATTCAATACCGAACCCATTAATCTTTGTGCTCAGAAATGCAGATAGATTGGACGCAAATGGAAATCTGAGAGAACGCGTTGTGTAACGTAAGCGCCACTTACATTGTGTACGTTCGTATTATCATTTGAGGATTTTAAGTGATTACAGCATCCCCTGACATAGGAATGGAAATTAGGTAATATCTGGGGAATTGTGAAAAGCTGTAAATTAATAAGAGCGTGAACTTTTTGCAACGTATATTTATTAACAATATCTTGGCATAAAAAAATTAGGTTTTATGGCGAATATTAATATCATTGTGTTCATCTTAATTCTGTTTTGCAGAAGAATCATGCTTCAACGGCAACCCTCCAGGCCTCAACAGGAGTGATTTAAAATCAGTTTCAATTTTTTTTCATTCTTTAGGGTTATAGTTATCGGTTCACGGACCGGATTTTGAAAAAGAAAACAATATTTCGCGAAATGGGAGTTATAGAAAATCAAGTTTAATCTTTTAACTGGGAAATTCGAGCCTATAAGGTAAATGAATAAAAAATGGTTTTGAATTAGCTCGCGAAAGCCTTCATGAACCGATAACTATGAACTTAACGAATAAAAAAATGTATTGATACTGATTTCAAATCACTCCTGTTGAGACCAGGTTGATTAACGCTAAAGCATGATTCTTTTGTAAAACAGAAGAGAAATGAATACAGAGTAACGTTAATCTTAGAACTCTAAACATGGGTAAAATTTACTCGGACCAATATTTCAGATGTTCTCTAAAAATGTGTTTTGTTTTTTTATTACTTTTTTCAACTCCACTGAATTGCGAAAACATCAATAAATCCATATTTCTCGATATTTTTTTTTCTACAGATTACAAAAAAATAAAATTTCAACTATTTACGCGGAAGTTATGAGCAAGTGAAAATGCATTGAATAAAATTTACCCACGTTTAGGGTTTATATAACTTTTACATGTTTAGAGTCATAGAGTTAATATTCACTATAAAGTCTAATTTTTTTATATTAAGATACTGTTAATAGACATACGAGATATAGACATATCTCGTACATCACAAGAAATTCAAATTCCTATCAATGTATAACTTTTTACAATTCCCAAAATTTTGTAGTATTTAATTTTCTCTTCTGTCAGAACCCTGTGAAACCTCTTGAAGACGATCGCTCAGCTCGAGCAATCGTATATTCCGATTCCGAGGTCGTACTCGATGTATCGAAATGTCGCTGAATATCGGAGTACTAAGAATTCTCTATCATAGGAAAATTTCAAGAATTCGCAGATTCAATTATGAAAGGGAAGTAGGGAGTTTTAGAACGTGATTACGCACCGTTACTTAATTGTAACGTCGCATGAAAATGTAATATCGGATAGTTGCGTCTTTCACTAACGAGCTCTAGTACATTGAGATCGGTCACCTTCGAATTTATTTAACTTCAGAGTACCTCCTCTTCGTGACGTTTTTAAATTACATTACTCAGCGAAGGAATTAATTAACTATGACAACGGTGACTACCAGTTTCTTTCGTTAATCTGAACACGCGAAGATCCCCGTTTTCCATAAAAAAAAGAAACTTTCTACACTGAGAGAAAAATTATATTAAAATCAACAAATATTTCCTTGATGGGTGCCATTGACATATTTACTTATAAATCTACATTCTTTTTATTTAAATCAAATATTGTTTATTTAAATCAAATAAACAATATTTGATTTAAATAAAAAGAATGTAGATTTATAAGTAAATATGTTAATGGCACCCATCAAGGAAATATTTGTTGATTTTAATATAATTTTTCTCTCAGTATACGGCAAATTTTTCTTACGGCCATCCATTTCGATTTGATGACGACGAAGTGTTACGGGTCTTTCGGTAGTTCTTGTTTTCTACATTTGAAAATCGACTTTACTACATCTTAATTTGACGGGGGGGAGTTTTCACCAGTTGAATTTGATCAGCTAGTCGGCGAGTGCTTGCGCGACGTCGCAGAGACATCGCTGAAAGGGAGAAAATTAATATCAAGGGACGCGCGCAAAATATTCATACTGGATTCTTATAATGGCGCCCCGTTAATTTAAACACATAGGATAATATTCGGAGTCTCTTTACGCACGCATTCACACACGAGTGCGCGCGCACACGTACGCAGCACACCGCAGAAAACGATAAAGATATCGCTTTCCGAGCGCGCCTCATAATGGCGATGTCCCGTCTGTTAATGAATCTAAAAAGGACGAAGAGAAAAATCGGATAAATGAAGAAAATCTGACGATGTCAGGTATTTTAAACGTAATAAGTTCTCGAGGGATTGCTCGATCTACAGGTTGCTCCAAACTAACCGGAATGAGCGCAGCGTCCGAGGCGAATTCAAAGTTGACGTCTCGAGGACATGCGGTTAATTAATTGCTGTTATTTGATATAATTGTAAATTATATAAATAGCATCGTTCGAAATTTTGCATCGAAACTCCATTGACTTCGAAATGGAATGACTTCGTCGCGGAATGAACAACGCGAAGTTAACTCAACCCGACCTCTCTATCTCAAATGCAAATTTTGTATCGACTGCCTCACGATTCTTGGCCATTGTCCAACAAATTGATAGTGACCTACGGTTTACTCTTTCGTCGGAAAGAGTAAAAAGACAACAAGTACGTCGAACTTCCTACGAAGAAGGATTATATTGGAGAATAGTTCCCCGTAATATGTGAAAATTGGCATAAGCATGAAATAAAGAGCGAAATTGCTGCGAGACTCTCCGCGTATCCTACTTTCGCGTATATCTTTGTTCTATTTATATTTTATTCATACATAGAGCTCGCGAGACGCCCATCCTCTGAATTTATTCGTTATTATATTTATTATTCTGGTGAATTGCGAGGCATTGTATTTATAGTTGATAAAGAAGTAGAGGAGCTTACATCCTTCTTTCTAAGAAAGTCCGCTTTCTGGAGGAAAGCATCTTACGGATCTTCTCTGCGTCCAATACGTGAAATTCTTTATCTTCGAATATAAGGTAAAATTATGATACTATTGTAAAATCAAATCTATATAATCAATTAAATTTTACGCGTCGAATTGGCCTAGTAATAACAGAAGAGAACGTTTAATTTGGTAAGAATGAACTGTAAATAATTATCGATTATTTTAAAAGATTAGACTTTTTCAATATCTAACTGACAAACATTATATTTTTAAGAAATTACGTGCGAATATACGTATACTGAGAAAAAACTTGAAGATTTATTTTTGTGGAATGTAAAATTTATTTCAGAAAAACAAAATTTATTTCTGCGAAATAAACTATTTTTGCGAAATAAACTTTACATTCCACAAATAAATTTTCATATTTTTCATTTCTGTGTACAACATATATCATATCGTTATCTTTAATAATAATATGATAATTATGTCAAATCATAAATAATTTCCAACAAAAGTAACAAATCATGATATTCTGAATATCTACAGAAACGTAAGCTCACAATTGGCTTATTAAAACTAGGAAAATAAGTCTTTATTAATAATGAGCAATGTATTGGGAAAACAATGTGTGAAAATTTATTTGTGGAATATAAAGCTTATTTTAAGCTGTGGATATATTTTCAAGTTTTCTCCCTCAGTATACAAAAATATACACGGAGAGAAAAATTTGGTTGAATCAACGCGACAATGGACGAACCAAACACGTTTTGATTGAAGAAAACAAAATTTCCGTAGGTCTTATTAATAAAAATCAGTTTCAAGAACCAGAAATCCTGTTTCCCTCAATCGAAAGGCGTATGATTTGTTCATTGTCGCGTTAATTCAATCAAACTTTTTTCTCCGTACTAGATTAGATTTTATCATAAATCTCATGCATGAAAAAAAATGCAAAGGAAGGAAAAATAGAAGTTATTCACGATTTAACCTAATATTGCTTAAGAAGTCAATGTAATGCTTTGAAAAAAAGTATTTTTGAGAATTAATTTTGCGAAAATCGACTAACCGAATGCTTTGAAACATTGTGTATTAATTAAGTAACTATTAAATTTTATATTACTATTTTTGTTATTTAGAAAAACCTATAAATAAATATGCAGCATGTGGCCGAATTCATGACTGCAAAAAATATCGCTGCAATTGGTGGAAAGATAGCGCCTAGTCTATTAATCTGAGACTTTTTACTTTTTTAATCTTTTTGGGTCTAGAACTCACTCTATCTTTCTTGTCGATTGCAGCGATATTTCTTACAGTCGTGAGTTCGACCACATGCTGCATATTTATTTATAGATTTTTCTAAACAACAAAAGTAGTAATATAAAGCTTAATAGCTATTCAATTAATATACGATGTTTCAAAGCATTCGGTTGATCCACTCAAATTTCTGAAATATATGCAACAAATAAAATATATATTTTGTATGCTTTTTGACGTTTCTGTTTCGTTATTTATTAAATTTTTTTTTAATATTTCTATAAAATGTATATATTTTATGTAAGAGCTAAAGCTTCAATAGAGATTCGCAACTGAATTTACTTTGCTCCCTAAAATCCTACCATTATATAACCTACTTTGACGCTAAAGGAAGCGAAAGCGAAAATTTCAGACATAATCAGGGTCATAGTAGGAGTAAATTATATCATTAGAATTAAACCTACTTTGCTATCTTAGTTTCTCCTGCAATGTAGAATTCAAGGTTCAATATAGGATCAAAATTTCGACTCGGGGAAAGACCCATGTAAGGCCACATGTTTGAGTTGAAATTTTGATGTTACTTTAACGCTCTTAAGGATAGTTTGCATCTACTTGGATGGTTTACAGCTTAGGTAAAAACTTTGACGATATTGATGCTCATTAACTTCTCTTTTGAATCTTTAACTCTACCTTGTCAAAATTTTGAGGCTACTTTGACGCTACTTTGACGCTCTTAAAAATAGTTACTTAAATAACCTACAATATAGGTGAAACCTATTACTACTATTTTGACGATATTGACATTCATTTTCGAGTCAAAATTTTGATCCTATGTTGAATCTTGAATTCTACATCGTAGTAGAAGCTAAGATAGCAAAGTAGGTTTAATTCTAATGATATAATTTACTCCTACTTTGACTCTGATAATGTCTGAAATATATGCAACAAACAAAATGTATATTTTGTATGCTATTTGACGTTTCTGTTTCGTTATTTATTAAATTTTTAAATATTTCTATAAAATACATATATTCTATGTAGGAGCTAAATCTTCAATAGAGGTTCGCAACTGAACTTACTTTGCTCCCTAAAATCCTACCATTATACAACCTACTTTGACGTTGACTTTGAAGGGAGCGAAAGCGGAAATTTCAGACATCATCAGGGTCAAAGTAGGAATAAATTATATCATTAGAATATTAAACCTACTTTGCTATCTTAGCTCCTACTGCGGTGTAGATTTCAAGGTTCAACCTAGGGTCAAAATTTCGACTCGGGTGTGGTGCTATTTTTCACTTAAGCCACTGGTTAATGTGAACTCAGAAATATGAAGAGCCCCCAAAATTCGTGGTCGCTGACCGGCGACCGGTCATTTACTAATCGCATGAACCACAGCGGGGGAGTCGTGTTACTTCGTAACGGCGAAACGAGCGATCATGTTCTCCCCCGAGAATCGGCGAAACTGAACTGTCGCGCGCGCGAGCGGTAACACAAAAGGCGCACACTATGCAACCACATACCTGCATTATGTCGCGCTAATGATAGCTCGTCGCGGCTCTTCGCGTACACAGGGGGGGCCTGGAGAGCGGTGTGGGGAGGGAGGGGGGGAATGAGGGGGCAACAAGTGTGTGGGCGGACGGACGGAAAGTTACACTAAAGTTGCCAACTCGCCCGGACACAACCTTGTCGATATTAGTGGCGAAGTTGTTCGCCAACAAACTGTCGTAACTACCGCGAGTTTTCCCAAAGATCTGGCCTGGCCGACCGGCCGGAATCGCCCGTTCGTTCGTTGGTTGGTTGGTTCGTTCGTTCGTTCGTTCGTTCGTTTAAAATCGTTAAACTTCGTCGGGGAAACTTCTTGCGCGTGAATATGAAAATAGTTTGGGATGTTCAGTGGGGAAAAGACGCGCGCGGTTTCATTCTTCTTTCGCGAAATGAGTTTCTCATTTAAGACCTTCCCTTGCACGGCCAATCGTAACGCATCGACAATTGCCGGTTGATATGCGATAAAAAGCCGCAGGTGTTTGAAACCGATTCTTCGAAGTACTTACTGAAAGAGGCAATATTTTAATATTTAATTGTGAGATATAGGGAAGGTCGGGTTTGGATTATGGAATAGGGATATGTTGCTCGTATGCTTTCTTTAGTATATTTATCTCGAGAGGAACAATGGATACAAAGTCGCGAAATAATCCTTCAGAACATACATACTTTTTTTTATTAAAATCGAGATAATGTTACTGTTAAAAATTGAAGAAAATCGATTCGCACAGTAATAGCAAAATCAATTTTTGAGCCTCTCAAAATTTTGCATTAATATTTCCCATCGTGAGTGAATAATGTTAAGTGACGTGTTGCTAGATTGAATGAAGTTTCCTGCAAACGCATAATGTTCTCTGTTTCGGATAATAAAAGCAATTTTCATTTATGAGATTGAAATCGACCATATGAGCGAACGAGGTAAAGTTGGTCTATAATTAAGAGTCGGCAGGAGAGCTGTGGAGAAATTTCGCGGAACTACTAATCACGATACCTATTTTGTGGTCTTTTCACTCTGCAATATTGGAAACTCGATGTCAGAACAAGATAGTTACGTTATTGCATGTTTGTATTTTGATTGTTACGAAACGAGACATATGGATTGTGTTAACAGAATTGTGGTTGACATTAACACACAGAAGAAAGCCGACTCTATCATATTTGTACAGTCAGTCATAATAATTAGTTGTCTGAGCAGTTGTAACTTCAAAATTATAAAATATGGGGCATCTAGTCTTGGTTTATTTTTGTGAATAAACTTTATATCTCACAAATCAATTTCCAAGTATCTTTTTTCTCTGTATATACTGAGAGATAATATGCAAAAAATGAAAAATATTTATTCGACTTATATTCATAACATATTTATTTGTACTGTTAACATACATATTTTTACATTAGGGAAAAATTTCTTTTAAATGGGAAAATATATTTTTCTAAAACTGTTGCTTACATAGAAGCAATTGTTTATTCTATTTAAACATAAGAGAATTTAGATTTAAATAAATATATTATTGGTACTATGCTGAATAAATTTTTTTTTATTATTCAGATTTTTTCTCAGTGTATATATTTTTGCTAAACTCGAGGTTTGAAAAGATATCGATTTTTCTCGAATAATAACCGAATAAAAATGTGTTTGTAAACACTCTTCCTTATTACCTGGGAGTTTATATGATTTTTTCAATTTGCTTTTTCCAATAATGTAACATAATCGCGCATTATAGAGAGTCATTCCTATTCTGATGAATATTTCAATTTTTTTACATATTGATTAAAAAAAAAAACGTTAAAGTCAGCTACTCAGCGAGAAAAATTATGGCGAGAGAATCGCGAATAGTTCTTAAAGATGAAACGGAGGTAAATGGTTCAATGCTAAATTAATAATGGTCTTTCATGTCTCTACACGATATTGAGCAATCAGACGATATCCTTCACGGTTATTTCTTTTCGGATCCCGCAGGCAAACGTATTTCTCCCGCACGAGTATGATTGATAGATTTGGCCTTTCTGACACGTATATTGACGTAGCCGCCAATATCACAATTATCCCCCAAAAAAACTTCATTTTTGAGCGATGTCGCGAACAGATATGCCTCGAATAATAAAATAATTGAGGAGAATCGAAACTCGAATGTCATTGCACGTATTTTTCGACCGTATCGTTTCTCGTAATTATATTGAATGTTTCAACCAGTACGCTACATTTTCCAAATGTGTGTCAATTTTTCTCGTCTGTTTTTTTTTATATTTTCCTGATTTTTCTGTTGGTTCGCGTACTCGACAATTCTGCTCCGGCGAACTTTGTATTTCGGTCGCTTTGTCGTTTACATTCTCGCGGCTTACGTACATTTTTTTATTGTAGAGGAACTGGTTTTTTCACGGAATTTAGCAGTTAGTTTTGTCACGTAGATGCGATCAATGACCACCAACCCTGATACGTTGGGGGATGTTTAAAACATAGGTTTATTCAAGGAGATTTACTTCATCTATCGCGACGAATATGAAAGGAAGTAAATATTAATTCGATAATTACCTCGCATGTCCTTCTCGCTATATTAGTATTCGACAAATCCCGTTAGGATCCTTCCTTTGACCTTCCGGACAAGGATCATTTCTGACCCGAGTGTATATGATGTGATAAGGGCCAATTGGGCCAAATTTCTGAGAGAACGGTGATTTGTCCAGATATTGTGAACATGTTCTCGGTAGATACATCGTCAGTATTACAATTATCGAAACGACTGCGAGAAATTTCATTCTCATGCGATATCGCACAGCACTGAGCACTTCAAATAACAAAGAAAGATCAAAATGTAAATTCACCCTTTTCGACTGTGACTGGTGATTATTTAAAACGTTCAATGCAAGGAGAATAAAAGGTAAATAAGAATAAAAAATCGTCGGTGTAATAGCGAGAATGTTAATGCGATTGATCCAAATTTTTTACAAAAATTAATAAATATTATAAAACGTTCGCGGATTTTTTGTAATTTTTGTTAATTTTTGTAAAAAATTTAGATTAATCGCATTAACGTTCTCGCTATTACACCTACGATTTTTGATTCTCATTTGCCTTTCATTCTCCTTGCATCGAACGATTGTATATTAAGTCTTTACATATATGTATATTTAGAATGTTTTAATGAATATTACACTTTACCTGAATTCTCGTAAAGTTCTCTTATAATTTAATTGTGTTCTGATTGTTCTTTTTTTTAATGTTCGTACTCCTTTCTATCGATACGCGAATTTAACAGTTTGACTTTAGTACGCAAACGAACTCTGCATTTCGGCCGTTTCGTGCCCCACATTTATATTCCCTCGGATTACGTAAATCCCTTCCTTGCGAAGAAATCCGGTTCGGACGATATTTCGCAGCTCTTTTGATAGTTGACATTCGCTTCCACGAAACGTTTAAATAATAATACCAACACTAGAGCGAGTCCGTCACGCATACTTAGCGGGTAGTATATTTTATGCTAAGAATTTGCACGTCGGGTATTTTGTATTTTCACGGGAGAGACTACGCTGGAAGGAAACGCTACTAGTTTTGCATTCTTCAATAGTTGGAGTTTGAGGCATCCAAGAAATGAAATTAAAATCACGGACGCGAGCGTAAAAGGCGCAAAAAGTCGCGCCTCATTTGCTGCGATTACGGACGTTTTACTCGTGATAATCTCGATTTTATCGAAGTTAGTTTGTTCGTAACGAACGGTTTGCACGACGTGCGCGTACGGGCGTTTGCCCTGCGCGTTTCTATATTTACATTACGATATATTACCCGACGCAAGCCTTTGATATGATACGAAGATTTACTCTATCTATCGCAATTAAGGCTGAAGTTTCCAATGCTAAATTGGTAATTACCCTACACGCCTTTTCCGTTAAATTGCTGCACGACATATTCCGTGAGAAATCTTTCCTTTGACCTTCTAAACAAGAAACGACTTTGATCAGAGCCATCTACGATATGTAGGGCCTTTGGGGGGAAATAAGGAGGCAATGGTTTGCTTGTGTGGTTCTCTTGACACGCCCTGGGTAGAATCTAATCAGCGACTGTCAATATCGCAGTTATCAAGAGAAACCTCATGAGAAATTTGATTTTCAGTATTGCGGAATATTGAATGCTTCTACATGACAAAATTATTTTACAGTAATAGAGAAAATGTCTAAAAAATAGTAAATTTCTAGAAAAAGTGTCTCTATTTGTTTACATATATGAAATAATTAGAAGAAGAAAAACGATTTAAATAAGAATTCGCGCAAGCGATATTTTAACTTCGATTCCACACTGAAAGAGAAAAAAATGTCTAAAAAACAGGAAATATTTATTTGATAGGTATTAAACACTTCTATATGATAAAATAATTATGTACATTGATAGAAAAATTGTTTAAAAAATAGTAAATTTCTAAAAAGAGTGTCTCTATTTGTTTACACATATGATAATAATTAGAAGAAGAAAAACGATCTATAAAAAACGAAATAAAAAATCACGCAAGCGATATTTTAACTTTGATTCTATACTAAGAGAGAAAAAATATCTAATAAACAGGAAATATTTATTTGATGGATATTAAACACGTATTTACTTAAATCTGAATTCTACGTTTTATTTAAATAAAATAAACAATTTTCATAAGAAGCTAAGATTTTCTCAAGACTTTAAGAAAATGTGCATTTTCCTATTTGAAAAATATTATATATCAGTATAAGTAAATGTGTTATTAGTATTCACGGAAATATTTATTTATTTCTCAGATATTTTTTCTCTCAGTGTAGAGTGTCACAGTTAAAATATCACTTGCATGTTTCTTTATTTAGATTGTTCTTCCTGCTAATTGTTTTGTATACGAATACCAGAGACAATATTTTCAGAGGTTTCTGTCAATTTCCTTGACACTTGTTTAATTTCCAATTACTTCGGTCGTTCGTGCTCTTCTCTATTAGCTCGCGAATTAAACAGTTCGATTCCGATGCGCAAACAAACTTCGCGTTACGAGCTCGGCATTTGTATTCTCTCGGGCTACGCGTGTTAAGACTCTTCGTTATGGAAAAGCCGGTTATGTAAACGAAGTTTCGCAGTTATTTTTACACGAGGAAATAATACTAGCTTAAGACGCAGTTGCGTACACCTGCTAACATTGATGTGCCGGACAGGTTACTTAAAAAATAAAATTGCACACTATAGAAAACAGAACGTATAATGCAGAGAAGTTGCAGCGAATAAATGTTCATCTTCACAAAGTGAAGATTATATTTAAATACAACGATGAAGCGGACACATTGTTTGGCAAGAGATATGTACTATACATATGCCCGGGAAAAGAAATGTTCATATATGAATTTTGTCTATATATGATTATTTATGATTATATACAGGATGACCCACGTAAAGTATTACAAACTAATAACTCTAAACATATTTGTCCTATCAAAAAGTTGTTCATGAGAAAGTTTCATATATTCGAGGGGCCTTTCTAACGTAAACAAAAATCTACTTTCATCCCCCTTTGAAGAGAAGCGGGAGGTAACTTCAAAGTTTCAAATGGGACCCCCTATACAATGTTATATATTTGGATCTTACGGGAAAAAACAAGTAAACTTTGTCTGAAACATTTCTTTGGAAAATGCTACTATCAAAAGTTATAAATATTTAAACTTTAATGTAGAATGCATTGAAATTAATGATAAATTAAATAAGACTTATAGTTTTTCTGTTTTGTTTTATTTTATTAAATGTTCGAATTGTTGACCATTAACATTTAAACATTTATTAATTCTTTTTACAAAACTTTGCCTAACTCTAAACAACATTTCTGGAGTCATCTTAGTGCAAGCTTAGTATGTATTCTTCGTTTTAAGTCTTCTTTCGTCGTAAGTAGTTGAGATGTGACTTCCTCTTATACCCCCATAAAAAATAGTGCCAAAGGTGTAAGATTAGGTGAACGAGAGGGCCATTGAACAGGATCTTCCTGAAAAGCTAAAAGTTTAAACGTTTATAACTTTTGATAAGAGCATTTTTTACACACACACAAAGAAATATTTCAGACAAAGTTTACTTGTTTTTTTCCCGTAAAATCCAAATATGTAACATTGTATAGGGGGTCCCATTTGAAACTTTGAAGTTACCCCCCACCCCTCTTCAAGGGGAGACGAAAGTGGATTTTACGTAGTTAGAAAGGCCTCTCAAATATATGAAACTTTCTCATGAACAACTTTTTGATAGGACAAATATGTTTAGAGTTATTAGCTTGTAACACTTTACGTGGGCCAACTGTACATATAAATATATATGTCTACATTGAAAAGATTGCTGTTGTGAAGATACAATTGAAATAAATGTTCATGTTTATGGTAGCCTATGACGTTTAATTGAATGTTTTAAAATTAATTAATTTAAAATTATTTATATTTTACATTTATATTAATATTAATTTATATTAATATTAATATTTATATTTATATTATTTTATTTTATATTAATTATTTATATTTTCTTTTTTTCATTCAACAATATTTGTTTTATGTATGGATATATATAATTAGACATGGTCATATGTAAAGTCACATATATGGACAAAATTCATATATAATCATGTATATTTTTATATGATTATACATGAATTTTTTTCCCCGGGCGTATAGTACTTTCGTGTTATATTGCATGTAGTATGTTAATTTTCAGAAGAAGCTGCTGTGTTAGAATGTTGTGTCCTTCAGTTATTGACGTTTCAAAGCAGAGAGGCGAAGTTTAACTCGGGAGTAGGCGTGTCCCGGTCATTCGGTCGCGCTTAATTGTATTTTTAATTAAATCTACCAATTTGTTAATAATTTCGTATTTTCTCTCTCTCTCTCACGTAAATTTTTTTTATTCTCTTTGCATAGTATAAATAAGTAAAACAGTTTTATTCGTGTATGAACGAATTTATACGTCAGAATTTTAAATTTTATTTATTTGTATAAATTTTAACGCGCCTGTAATATTTGCTATTCCGTTACTAATATATTTTATCAATAAAAATTTATGTTCGCCAAGTGAGAATAAAATGAATTCAAAAAGAGAAGTAAAGAAAGAAATAGCGAAGCAAGTGAACGAGAAGAGAAAAAGAGAAATATTGTTAATCAAATATATAATTAATAATATTCTTTTCATTAATTACTATGACACTCTAAATTGTTAGAACATTTTCTAACAATTACTAATTTGTTGTAATATATGTCTGTACCAATATATAGTGTGGTTGAAACGACCTGGATCTACTTGTTAGCGTTAGTCAAATTCATTACTTACTTACTTCTGGGTTAAAGTAAACATGATAACGGTATAAATGAATGGTATAAATACGTAAGCGTGAGCTACGTAATAAAGAATTAGATTTAACTGGCGAAGTAATATAACTTTGAGCAATTTTGTCCTGAACAATCTGGATCGTCATGGAAATTAGATCTTTTGCAATGGCTTGTATAATGCATGTGCATATATTTACCACGTGTAATTATATATTTACATCGAGACACGCTACTTAATGTTAATTTTTCGTGTGATAACGCACGAAACTTTATATAGGCCATCTATATCGCTAGCAGAGGCGAAGCTGTAACATAATCAGTTGAATCTCGGTAATTACCTGTACGTTTCTGCCACTACACTTGCACGCGACATACTCCACGATTATCTCTCCTCTGTCCCTCCGGGCAAGGAGAGATTCTATTTTGTACAGCTATAATTATTCTCTTTGTCGTTGTTGTATTTATCGGTGCCATTGTTGTATTTATTATTGGACTCATTTGTTCATTCATTGGCGAGTTCATCTGTTCATTTATTGGTGGACTTATTGGTTCAGATGTTTTTTCTTGACACGCTTGGAATGGAATAGCAGTGACTGCCACTATTATAATTATCAGTAAAATGTTTATAAGAAGTTTCATTTTGAAGTGATGTCGCGAAACAGAATCTTTAAATAAAAAGGTTGACAACTCGAATGTATTGTAATATTATTTGTTTCTCTCTGTCAAGTTGTCACTTCTTCTAATATTCCCGGATTTTCTTAATTTTGCTTCACACTTAGCCACTTTATTGTCTAAACATTTTTTTTTCGAATTTACCGCTGTCTAGCTTCTTTAATATCTGAATTTTTGTAATTTTTCGTCACGACACACAATTTTGGTTCGTTTGCCTTCAGCACGTAAACGAATTCTGCATCATCGTGGCCCGGTCATTTATACCTTTCTGATTGCGTCAACTGTGTTGCCATGTAAAAACTGGTTTAATTAATTAAAAGTTTCACGGCCACTTTTTAATTAAAGATTCGAGAATGTACGTCTCTGTTATAGATATTCGCTTCTATGAAATTACACTTAATTACACTCAAATATAAGTAATAGAGCAATGATGTGAGTAAAGACATAATAAGCTCGTCTTTTTTTACATCGTATTTATTATTGGATGTGAATGTTGTAGGTAGATTATACTATCCATCGGAATTTTAAAACTGCACAGAAAAAAATGACATTCTTGTTGGGAAAATATCTTCATTTTGTACATGTTCTTAATTTTTAACACTTTCAGATTACACAGCGTTAAACGAGGATAAGTTACTTGCAAGAAAATATTTTATATGATTTTTAACGAAGAGAAAAACCTGTGGTTTTATTATTTAAAAATAATTTATGTAAAAATAATTACAAAATATTGCAAAGCATTGCAAAATATTGGTTTGAGAATATGATTAGATTTAATATATGTTATGATTTTTCTATCCACTTAAAACTAATATATTCAAATTAACAATTATTATTTCATATATAAAAACTATTGTTTAATATATAAGCATATATATATATATATA